ATATCTTGTTCATTGGCACAAATATGATATTAGTGAATGCACATAGAAGCCATCAAAGAATCTTCTAAATGCAATAAAGAAAGTTGAAGCTTTTCATCAATAAAATCTATCAAAACCAAGATAAAGAATAGCAAATTTTTGCTATAAAAAAAATAAGATCAAAAAAAGATAATATTCTACTTTCTATTTTTTTTTGTAGCTTGAGTGTATTTGAGATGCTAAGGAGATGGAAAACCAATAACCAGCAAATTCAACTCAAGAACTTTCATTTGAGAATTTATCAGATGAAACATTATGATTGTTATAATCTTCAAGACAATAAAATTGAGATAAAGATCCTCAAAAATGACATGTCCTTCCTCAAATAGATGGTGAGATAAAATGTGTTTGATATCATGACTGTGGAAGACACTCTTGCTATTTGGTGATTTTATTAGAGGTAGGAATAATTCTTGACGGTGTTCCAAATATTTTATTTGAAGGAAGTTATGAAGGCCTCAACAACGATCAAATAATAGGGTGGTCTTCTTGTCTTTGTATGGAACACTATTGATGGTTAAGAGGGCCTATCAACCATCTTCAAAGAGAGCAAAAATCAGAGTATGTCGCAAATATAATTTGCCACTGTCATAATATGTGAAGTCTTACTTAAAAAAACTTGGGGCACTTGGCTGTGGAAAATAGAATAGAAATTATAACAAAAAAATCCTAAATCTAATAGAATACTAATTAAACTCTAATTAGACCATAATAATGCTAAGTAAGCTTTAATCAAATTCAAAGAAAATTTAAAGGAATTACAAAGAAACAATAAGAAATCTTTAAAAAATATTAGAATAATTACAAATATATCTGAAATACATCTCAATTCAATCTTAATTTAATCCTAATTAAAATCCTATTGGACTTCATTCAAACTTTAGGCCAAAAACTAACTAAATCTTAAATCTTAAACAAATCCTAATAAAATCCTAAATCCTAAATCAAATCCTAACCAAACTCTAGCACTAAATCAAATCCTAATCAAATCTTAAATCCTAAATCAAATCTTAAATCCTAAATCAAACCCTAACTAAATCCTAACCCTAAATAAAATCCTAATCAAATCCTAATTCTAAATCAAATCCTAACCAAATCCTACTAATTTCTACAACAAATTTAAACCTCAATAACTAATGAATGAATCATTGATCTTAATTCAAATTTTGCACACTTCTTAAAAAACAAAGTTGAAAAAAAACACAAAAAATTTGAAAAGGATCGGAATTACCAAATAGACGATAACCTCAAAAACGTGCTTGGATATTGGCTGGCTTCCTTTTCCAACCTTGATGCCAATCTCTTAGAGCCAATATCTCTCTTTTTCACTATTTGATTGATTTAAAATTCTTACACACATAGAAAAATAAGTCTAATATCCTCTCACACAAATTTCACTCCAATCCAACTAATAAATTGTAAGAAATCTTAAAAACCCTCAGTGGATCTAAAATTCTACTTTTTGAAACCTTGACCCACTTAAACCTCAAATTAACCTCAATTCAACCATTAGATCGAGCTAAGTTTTACATCACATATTAAGTACAATTATGACCATTAATCAACAAAATTTTATTTGTAGATCTGTTACAAAACTCTTGAAATCATTAGGTACGCCAATCCTATTTTATTTCACAAAATCCAAGTCATCCAAAAACAATCTTGACTTTGTAAAGCTCTTAAAAAGTCATAACAACTCCAAAACACCCAAAACCAATGCTTATAAAATCCATATTCAGTTTGCTATCAAACCTCACTCTTTGATTTGCAAAAGAACCTCGAAGTCGTTGTCGAGACTCAGTTTTGTGCCTTAGGATCTCATTTCGACCCTGGTTCATAACTAGCCCTCTTTAGGTATCAATATCTAATTTTTCTAAGTAAATTTTGCTAGAATTTACTCTTAACTTCTTTCTAAAGATGTCTATATCATTTATTTTTCCAATCTACTTTGTTTTGCCTTATTTATGGTTCTACAAAGTAAGTAGAAGACACCTTTTTAAAAAGGCAGCATTGGTGCCTTTTAGTTTTACTACCCTTTTGACTATTAACTATATTTCTTAAATACATATAAACTATATTTCTTAAATACATAGATAACTTGCCTTGCAAGTTAAGACATGTGGCTAGCAAAGTCAACATGTTTTGGAGGTCCTATTAGACATCGCCACATAGCTCCTAGTTAAGAGTATACATGGAGGTAAGAGTGAAGCCTTCTTCACTCTTGTCAATGCTGTTATAGTCCTTAGTCTTGTTTCAAGACTTTCTAGTCTTCTTGTTTTTGGCAATAGCCATTCTTATTAATATTATATTAATGTTTGAGTGACTTTCTAGTTCTCTTCAGTGACATAAGAGTATATTGAGGATTCTCTTTCTTTGAGATTCATGTCCCTGACAATATGTAGGAATAGTATCTCTATGATTCTCATAAGAAATATGTGAGATTTTTACTCTTAGAGTATTGACAAGCTTGTAAAGATCTGCAATAGTTACAAATTTATTCTCACTTCTATTGAAAGTAGCATCCATAAACTTTTCTTGTATAGATAATTTAAATAAATTCAGAAAGTTAAATTAGAAGAGGATAATTTTGATACATTCTCAATACACTTTTGTATCACTCAAAAAGACTAGAAAATCATTCAAAGATGGTAATATATTGAATTAAAATGGCTATTGCTAAAGACAAGAAGACAAGAAAGTCTTAAAACAAGACTAAGTACTAGAAAGGTATTGATAAGAGTAAAGAAGGCTTCACTGTTGCCTCTATATATATTCTTTAATTAAAAATTATATGGCAATATGCTATAGGGCCTCTAACATGTGTTGATTTCGCAAGATATATGTTTTAACTTGCAACGCAAGTAATCTATATGTTGACTATATAATTAAGTTGTTCTACAAGTTATTAACATATGTGATATGTGACTAACTTGTTGACCAAGTTTCTATCCAACCAATAACTACAAAGCCATGCAAAGTCTAAACAATATCTATGAAGCTTCTAAGGAGCTTTTCTAAAAGATATTATAAATTAATCAACTTTTATCTACTTCTATTTAATCATATAGATAATTATTAGAATAAATATGTATGTTTATGACATGATTGTGCCATTTTTACTTATATTCAATGTAGGCAAAGTTTTGTGGGAATTTAATGGAAGATAAATTGTATATTATATAGAATTATTTTAATAGTTTTTTTGTATTTTTTTGTCAATATTTCTATAAAAAGGTTAATTTTTGGTTTAACAATTATAAATTAAACTTTTATACCTTTTTCATTGATAATAATAAAGAATTCGCCTAATATATATAAATATATATATAAATCTTAATCTTAAGTTCCATAAAAGAATAAATTTGTAAATGATCTTAAATAATAGTCATAATTTTTTAAAATTATACAAGATCTTTATATTATAAAAAATAAAAATAAAAAATTTCCTAAAAGTCCTTATTTGGTTTTAAAAATAGTGGCCAATATAGATATAATTACATATATTAATAGTAAAAAATATAAAAATAAATAAATAATTGATTATAATTAAAAATTTAAATGATAATTTTTTTTGATAAAAATAAAAGACATAATTATAATTTATAATTTATACTTTTTTTCTAATTTTTATAAAGAAATGATGTTTATTTTTCTACAAAAATTACCAATGTATTGAGGTTGTTAGTACCGTTTAAAATTTATAACTAGCACCATATAAAATCAATGATTTAATATGCACTTAAATTTTACTATTTTGGTAAAATCAATAATAAATTCTAATTTTATTTCAATCCACAAATTCCTCAATAATCATCTCAAAATTACTATTAAATTACAAATTTTGTAAAGATAAAGTATTAGCATTTGCTCAAAACATCATTTGTTCTTTATTTTCATTCAAATTAAATGAAAAAAATTATTACAAAGAGATCGGTGGTGCATTCAAATCCTAATATATATTCCAATTATTAAAGTCTTGGCCAAAGTCACAAGAAATTCATGAATACACAAATCAAACTTGGAAGCAACTACAACAAATTTTTCACACTATTGCAAAGATTCTTTTTTCATGCATGTTGTTTTGAGACTAATACTTATTTCTACACCCTTATCTTAAAAATAATTTTTTTTGTAATTAATATGTTTGATTATTACTTTTATATGTAATATATAATGATCTTGTAAAATCCAAAATTTATAAAGCATAAATTTCTTGATATAAGAAAAAAATAAGAATTTGAATTTTTTTTAAAAACTCTTTAATTATTCTTGTGTAGCAAAATTATAAGAAAGATTAATTAATAGTGAAGGGTTTTCTAATTTTTTTAGTGTTGTATAATCTAAGTGAAAAATCTATTCTAAAGTTTCATATGTTTACTTTGATTTGAATATAAATTCTTGAATCTTTAAATTATCACATGTTTCTATATCTATGTTGAATTATTTAAAAACATATTACAGAATAAAATAAATTCATCAAAAATAAAAGAATATATTTCTAAATTAATAGTGCTTGTATGAATATATTATAATATATTTATTTTTTTTCTATTTACTTCAATAAGATCTTATCTTTATATTTTAAAATAATAAATTATAACTTCCTAATAATAGAATTTGTATTATCAAAAATATAAGTATTATACATAAACTTTTAAAGAGTGATAGTAAAATAAATAATTTGTTCAATTAGTACAACAAAATTAACCTCTTAGTCTGAAGACTAGTTTGAAGCTAAGAATATTAAGAATATTTCAAAATTAAAAATATTAGATTATTAAGTCCTTCAATCTTACTTTAATATATAAAGCTTGGAAGGATATAAGCTTGTTTTCTACTTTTTTAGACACTTATGAATTAATCTTTAGAAAATCACTTTTAAATTTATTAATAATACTAAAACTGTTATTAAAAAAATTATTTAACAAAATAATTTTATACAAAGTAATAATTTATCAAAATTAACCATATTAAGTATCATATATTATAGATAGTTTGATTTATTGATGTATTACATAACAAAAGAAAGCTGTGTATACTAGATACATGGACATTATAACTTACAATTCTTTAAGGAGATCTATACATAAATAAAAACATAATATAACATATCTAAAAAACTACAAAGAATCTAAACATGTGATTGTTGCCATTTACATTACAACTGAGAACTGAACAATACCCTTGGGTTATCTGTCCACGCGATGAAGATTGGTTCCCCATTTCATAGAATATATGTATAGTTGAAATGCAGAACAGCTAAGAATGGCTGATCCAGCAATTTATTATACCATTTTATCAATAGTTGCATGGGATCACTCTGACTTGGAGATGCTGAAGTGGATTTGCTTGTGTCGCTTGGTTGCTTCATCATGTCCATCATCTGGAGGTCAATCAACAAGTTCCAACCCTTCAGAGAAAAGGAACTTTAAAACTGCAGAAGAAGAATGCATTTCTCAGGTTGAAGTTGTCACATTCTGCATGCGAGTCTGAGCAGCTTCAAAGGTGGATCGGGCCATTCAAGTTTGCTCAGACGGTGATGATAAAAGAAAAAGAAAAAAGAAAAAAAGTATGCCGGCAACAGAGGTTGTGTGGCATACTTAAAATGCTCTCAAGCTAAACTCCTCTTCGTATTAATTCCTAAATTCGGAACATGACGCAAAACAGCCCAATCTGATACAAGAAGTGAAGGAAGTTGAGGACTAAGTGATGAAGAAATAGAATAACATAAGCTGTTTATTATTCCATTATTTGACAGCATTATGGAGTATTTTAGACATACCAGGTTCCTGCAGGAACATAGAGCATACTGCATCTGCATGTTTCAATTCGGTGGTGCTATCTTTTCAGATTGAATACTTTCTGCATACTGCTTCCCAAAAGGTTTCTGCACCCTGTAGCAATACAGAGCGGTAAGCACCTTGCTTGCATCCCAAAGTCTGCTGATCCGGTATGCAAACACATCTCCACATCGAAACTCCCACACACCAAAGTGGAAAATATAAGAAGATAATCTGTAAGCATGAAGCAGTGAACAGAGTTTAGGTGGAATGTTTTAGTCAGTAGCTCTTGATGTAGCAATGGCAGCCATTTTGGTGCATGTCGATCATTGCGAGTTAGCCCCAGGAGTTTTGTCCTCACGAGTATCAGAGCTTGCTCAGGGAAAAATATCTACTCTAGACCCAATGCACAATGTTTATGCAGTCGATGTCTTCCAAGTTCCCTTGAAAAGTATACAAAAAATCTGCCAAGGCTTCCCATCAACTACCAACAAAACAAAGCCTGTAGTGGATTCCCCTCGATTCTCATGCAATGTTCTGCATCCCACTGACCTAAATGGTGAAGATAGGCTGCAAGGCATTGTTTTTTTGCGGAGACATATGCGTGGTGTTTGATGCATGATCATAACCATTGCCACCACAATGAGAAGACGACAGGGATGATATTCGTTCCCTTCTCAAAAGCTTCAGCCGACTGTTCGAAAGCGAGCCCATCCTCATGTTTCACTCGCGAATCCAATGTTGTCCACTCTATCTAAAAGTTTGAGAAAGATCAATCGCTGCACTTACAAGTGAATCTGAAAAATGAGGATCAGTTGGTGATCCATGAGGTTTAGCCTTCGCAAGAAAGCTTGGAATGCTATCTCCAGGCATCATTACGGAAAGACTTGTCTCCTGCAATCCCCAGAACATCCCCTTCTCTTCAACATTTTTGGGTAACTTATGGAGCCTAGATTTTCGATGTGAGCAGAAGTGTCAGGAATTATAGGTGTGATAGCCCTTACGTTGCAAGGGCTGATGCCAAGAGTATGAAGAAGAAAGAATTCGACCAAAATTGACTTGTTATATGAGTATTTGAACAGAAATGCATCTTCAAACGTCACAATATTTGAGGGTTGAATGCAGCATGAAGCTGCATTGCCACATTCTTCATTCAGAAAGAAGAAATAGTGAACCTGTTTGATCCTATTCCCGACCCGCGCACCGATCATGTCTTGAGAACAGCCCGCATCTTGCACCGAGAACCCATTTCCTCTACTCACCCGCCTTGCAACATTCCTGGCCTGAAGGCGAAGACGCCATTCCAAGTGGTAGCAAATGCAGAAAAGCGCCACTACACTCACCGCCATGAACACGACAAGGACGATACCTAGATAGAAGTTGATCTTGTGAGAGTGTCGTGAAACCGGGGCCGACAGCGGCGGGTGACGGTGATGCTCCGGCAGCCAGTGGTTCATCAATCCAACCATGGCTCATTGGCTGTGTGCTACCGCCAAATGCAAACTTCCCCCATGTTGCACATTTGCAAATTAGCTTCCTAATTTCTCCGATACAAAGTTTGCAATACCACTATCCATCTATTGCTCTTGTTCTGACCATGACTGAAAAAGAAATCACACTCCGGGGTTCTACAGAGGCTGAAGATCCCCACTGACATGACCAAATTCTTCGTCGGCACTGTAAACGTCTAGAACACAACCAAGTCCCTTGATTTGCATGGGCACCAGAACCCTAGCAAGCGATCCCCTATTAGAAGCTTCAAATTCACACTGGCCAACAAAAGACTCGGCGACAGCAACGAAAGAAAAACCACTCTAATAAAACCAAGTTTTTCACGATTATCTGGGCTTGACCCAATCATTAGAACTAGTCCTGACTCTACACTTGCAGGTGTGTGTAAGCTAATAATTCAAATCAACACCTTCAGCTACCCTGGCGGTATCAGACTCCAGGGCATCCACGTGAGGGCCACAAACTTTCGAAGGTGCTGAGACATACAGGAATAAAAAGCACCAGAGGGAGAATGTGCATATATATATTATAAAATATGTATATATATCTCTACAGTTGGGCACAACAATCTTTGTCCCATCCAATCTTATGTTCTCTTGTTCCTTTATGTTTTGCAAATGAGATTTCCATGTTCCCCTGTTCATATGTTTTGCAAATGAGATTTCCATGTTCCCTTATTCCTATGTTTTGCAAATGAGATTTCCATGTTCTCTTGTTTCTAAGTTTTGCTATGTTCCTATTTCCTATGTTCCCATCTTCCCTTGTTCCTGTGTTTTGCTAATGAGAAGACTTCTTTATCTCTTTGAGTTACATTCAAGTTGTTTATAGTAGATATATGTCTTACTTTGTAGAATGTTTTTTTTAAGAGAGTGAAGCAAACAATTGTACAAATAGTACAATTCAATGTAGAATCTATCCCATGACATTGATTGGTTTCATTAGGCTCCATGCAATAAGTTTTTGGTTATCCACAACAATGGATAAGGACATTTCTAACACTGAATTGTGTAGACATATCAAAAATCTTATGACATGTTTTTTGTTTTTATTTTGTACAATTAGGGCCTATAAAAGCATTATATACTAATTCCTCTTGAATCTTTCTTATTTTTGTATAGAAATTGAAACTTCTTGTTTATTTTTCTCTACTTCATTAGTAGTTGCTTTGATTGATGTTCATATATATTATTATAGATTAAGATTTGATTACTTTCTTCTCTGCAAAATAGTCTTGTTGTTAAACAAGTATTTCAAAAACATATATTAATATAGTTAAATGGTTGAAATAAATATAAAAATATTCATAAAGTAATTTCTTGATAATTTAATATATCATGAATTATAAGTATATGACTAAAATAAATAAATTTAAGTCTAAGAAAATATTTCTTTTAAGTATTATATTGATTATAAAAATTTATTATTTTTTGATATTATCTTTTAAAAAAAATTAAAAACAAACTATAATAACATTTACCTTATAAAACCTTCTAAATTCTTACAAGTATTTGGCTACTTTTGGTAGATGTTTAAAAACCTCTAAAATCTTTTATATGTTTTTATTCTTCTTTATAGATTTTCAATTTTTTTTTTAATATCCTTATAGATGATTTGATGGCTATTCAATATTTTCTTTAATCCAATAAAATTTTAATTATATTTCAATGATATTCTATAGTTCTTAGAACTTCTCTTAGATACTTTTATAAAATCTAATTGTTATAATAAAAATAAGCAGTCAAGACAAGGGACAATTCAATCTTGTCAATACAAGTTTTTGACAAATTTAAGTATTCTTATTAGTTGAATATTTATTTTGTTTTTAATCTAGTATCTTATCTTTTTGTATTTTTTACATATTTAAATGTCTTTTTTTTGTACCTTTTAAATATATATATATATATATATATATATATATATATTGATTGTAAAAATATCTTTATATTACTAAAATATGATTCAAATACACTTTAAAAAATATAATTATTTTTCTACTTGATTTTTTTGTCTATTATATCAATAATTAAAATTTACTTTTTTAACTCTAATAAGTTGATATATTTTATATTTATTTTAATCTCAACTGAACTTCTTTTAAATCTTATTTTAATTATTATTAATTTATTTAAAATTAAATTAGAAATTTTAAAAAATTATATTTATATTTATAATTTAATTATCAATAATAATTTAGAATTATTCATCTTAAAAAAGATATATATTCTTATAGTCTCATTTTTTTCATCTCTAATTTCTGTATTTTTATTAATTCTTTTGCTTTATATTGTGTTTAGTTAGAAAATCACTTATTTATAGATTTAATTAGATTTTTTGATAGCAAGAATTTTTTTTAAATTATATTAGATCATATATAAGAATACAACTTTTTTCCTATTTAAATAAATTTATATTAAAATATTAAATTTTAATATACTTGTAGTATTATTTATGTGTTTCTTTATTCTTATTATTATTGGAAATATCTTAAATGTTTTCTTGATTTCTCAAAAGTAATTTTTCATAATATAATTTAAGAAGTATTACTTGTACTAGGTATATTTTATACTAACATAATTATTTTTTAAAAGTTAACATCTATGTATTATTTTAAAATAAAATTTTGATTAATTTAGTTATATTATTATATATAAATATAAAAATACGTACAAATATTATTTTAACATTGATTGATATTATTCTTCAGTACATTTACAATAATTTTAATCATTTTGCCTTTACAATGTTGTACAAATAAATGTTTGTTTATATTAAGAAGAAGATGTAATTCTTTTTATATTTATTAAGGCTTCTTAACATATCTTTTATAATTTTTCTTTAAAAGCAAAATGACTGGAGATGTTTTTTTATTGTAATATTTTTGTAATTTTATTTATTAATTTTTTATTTTATAAATATTTTTTTTAATAAAATTTATTTTAAAGTTCTATTTTATTTGACTTTTAGTCTTTTTTATTATATAAAATTAAAAATAATTATTTTATACAATCAATTTTTATTCTAATATTTTTAATCAGTAAATTTAAAATTCTAATATATATATATATATATATATATATATATATACTTCTCTTAATTCATAGCATTTGTGGATGAAAGTTTTATAAATTATGCAAGATTTTATTATTTTTGTAGAATCATGAAATTTCAATGTTTCCAAATGTTTTGAGCAATAAAGAAGTATATGGGCAATGTAGTTCCATTGGTTTTACTATAGTGTACACATTAAATACATTTCAACTAATGTAAACAACCTCCTTCCTATCATCATTCCACAAAATGGATTTTTTTTTCTTTGGTCACTATGTTTGTTTGCTTCTTTCTACCTTCTTACCTTTATTGTCATAACTTAATAGGATCTCTATCAAGTTATAGTATCATTGCAAATAAAACTCTATTTATAGAAATTTTGATAGAATTTCTATGTAATTTGGTTTTGAAAAATTTGAATGCATATTGACTTTGCAAGAGCTTTGCAAAGTTTAGATTGTTTTAGGTTTCTTTGTTTTGTATTTAATAAAAAAAATAAATTATATTTAAATAAATTATATGAATTTTATAAAAAATATTTAAATAAAATTTTATAGATTTATAAATGTAATTATATTAAATTTAAGTTGTGAATTTGAATTCAACTAAATGAATAAATCAAAAGTGATTGAAGTTCAAGTTAGTTGAGATATTAGAAATTGAATTTTGAAGGTTATTAAAGATTTTATACTTTAAGCAAAAAAAAAATTGAATTTTTAAAAAAAAAAAAAAAAAAAAAAAAAAATGTATGTTGATGATTGCCTAATTTGTTTATATTTGAACAAATTTTAAAAATAAGTTGATAGTTCAAGAAGAAGATTTTAGCTAAAAGATTAACATTGAAGTGAGATGCAATAATACTTATAGTCTTCTCAAATGTTATAGGAGTCTTTTATGAAGGCCAAAAACATTCCCACCATTAAATTCTTGCTATGATATAGAAGTCCTCTCTCTACATCTTTTAGTTTATAGATCTTAGTTACAAAGGTTAAATCTTATTCTTTGAATTGGCCTTAAATTATATCGTTTATGCTATAAAATATTTTTTTTGTAATCAAATCTTTTATTATGTAGTTAGTTCAAAAGTCCTACAAGAGATTGATGCACAACTTGCAATGAATATTTGTCAGATCCTTCTACAATCTAGGCCTCAACTTCTTATTTTTTGGATTCTTGGGCTCTATCTTCTTCAACCTTACTTTTTTTTTGACTTAGACTTCTTCATCTTTTACTCACTTTGATTCTAAAAGAGTAAGAACTTCAATTGAGTATTTCACTTCTTTTCAAGACTCTATTTCTAATTATCTTTTATTGATAATATTTAATCAGCTTGCTAAAACTCAAATGTTTCTTGGATTAAATTAATTCCTTGATTTTACAACAACCATTGTAATTTTTTATTGATATTTGAATCATCTTTAGTTTATAGTTGATTTGATTAAAAGGTGATAATTTCTATAATTATTTTTTCTCTCTTCTATAATTATATAAGTAGATGATAATTTGTAAAATAATAATTATTCTAATAAGAATCTCCAAGTAAATATCATTGTCTATTCTCTATTACTCTCAACCAATTTCTTTTTCAATACTATTTTGTCTATTAATTTGTTGTTGAGTCCTTTGTCTATTGCATGTGGCTCTTTTTTATGCTCATCAATACTAGCAATGATCTAATTTAAAGTTAATGGCCTTCTTGAAGTTATGATTATATATCACCTATTACTCTAAAGTCATTAAGATGCAATTTTAGAATCATCACAAAGCTGTAGCTTCTTTTTTTTATAAGAGATCCTAATTGAAAGATATAGTAGCAAAACATGAGTAAAAGGTAAGAAGATAGTATAAACTTTAAGTGTTAACGTTGCCTTTTTGTAAAAAAAAGACTTTTATTAACTTTGTACGGCTATAAGTAAGACAAAACGAAGTAGTTTAGAAAAACAAATGATATAAGAATCCTTAGAAGAGAGTTAAAAATAGTTTGTAGCAAAAATTATTTTAAGAAATCAAGGATTAATACTTGAAGAGCATCAGTTGAAAATTGGAGACAAAATCTGACATTGCGGCACAAAATTGTGAATCTACAATAATTCTTGAGTTCTTTTGGAAATTAAAGATAAAGATTTGAGAATTTTTTTAAGAAGGTTGTTTTAGTATTAGGTTCAAATAATTTTAATATATATTGAATTTTTGAAAGCTTTTCAAAGTGAGAGATGTAATCTAAGATTTTTAATTTTTAGATATAAAAAGAGGCTTACATATTTGAGTAATTTGTGAATGTATTAGCAAATTTATGAATAAATTTTTTTGCATTTATTATTTTTTATTTTAATTATTTTTTATAAATTTGAAGTCAATAAAATATTTAAATTAAAGGATATAGGTATTTTATTAGATTAAAGTCTCAAATATTTTAATTATAGGATCAATGAG